TATAGACTAGACTATAGACTAGACTATAGACTAGACTATAGACTAGACTATAGACTAGACTATAGACTAGACTATAGACTAGACTATAGACTAGACTATAGACTAGACTATAGACTAGACTATAGGCTAGACTATAGACTAGACTATAGACTAGACTGTAGACTAGACTATAGACTAGACTATAGACTAGACTATAGACTAGACTATAGACTAGACTATAGACTAGACTATAGACTAGACTATAGACTAGACTATAGACTAGACTATAGACTAGACTATAGACTAGACTATAGACTAGACTATAGACTAGACTATAGACTAGACTATAGACTACTATAGACTAGACTATAGACTAGACTATAGACTAGACTATAGACTAGACTATAGACTAGACTATAGACTAGACTATAGACTAGACTATAGACTAGACTATAGACTAGACTATAGACTAGACTATAGACTAGACTATAGACTAGACTATAGACTAGACTATAGACTAGACTATAGACTAGACTATAGACTAGACTATAGACTAGACTATAGACTAGACTATAGACTAGACTATAGACTAGACTATAGACTAGACTATAGACTAGACTATAGACTAGACTATAGACTAGACTATAGACTAGACTATAGACTAGACTATAGACTAGACTATAGACTAGACTATAGACTAGACTATAGACTAGACTATAGACTAGACTATAGACTAGACTATAGACTAGACTATAGACTAGACTATAGACTAGACTATAGACTAGACTATAGACTAGACTATAGACTAGACTATAGACTAGACTATAGACTAGACTATAGACTAGACTATAGACTAGACTATAGACTAGACTATAGACTAGACTATAGACTAGACTATAGACTACTATAGACTAGACTATAGACTAGACTATAGACTAGACTATAGACTAGACTATAGACTAGACTATAGACTAGACTATAGACTAGACTATAGACTAGACTATAGACTAGACTATAGACTAGACTATAGACTAGACTATAGACTAGACTATAGACTAGACTATAGACTAGACTATAGACTAGACTATAGACTAGACTATAGACTAGACTATAGACTAGACTATAGACTAGACTATAGACTAGACTATAGACTAGACTATAGACTAGACTATAGACTAGACTAGACTAGACTATAGACTAGACTATAGACTAGACTATAGACTAGACTATAGACTAGACTATAGACTAGACTATAGACTAGACTATAGACTAGGCTATAGACTAGGCTATAGACTAGACTATAGACTAGGCTATAGACTAGGCTATAGACTAGGCTATAGACTAGACTATAGACTAGGCTATAGACTAGGCTATAGACTAGACTATAGACTAGGCTATAGACTAGACTATAGACTAGACTAGGCTATAGACTAGGCTATAGACTAGACTATAGACTAGACTATAGACTAGACTATAGACTAGACTATAGACTCGTTTGATACAGTGTTCCAAAACGAGTTCAGTTAATTAAGTATTCAGCAGTATTAGTTTCTAGAGATATTTGTGATGATCTTTCGGGGCCAATGATCAAGCGATCATTCTAACTACTTTTTTCCAGAATATACAGCCAAGCCTTAACATCAAAACCTTTATTGTATAATTTCAAATTTATAGTCAGTGTTCAATATTTCGAGACCATTTAATATGGCTTCATGCAGTTACGAAATTCCAGAACCAGATGAAGTACAATGGTCCAATAAATCTATAAAATTCTGTATTGAAAAATCAAGAACTACCCTACTTAACATCACCCTATTACATAGAAATAATGTCCAACACTTCTAGGTTTTTTATGAATCGGGGAAAAAATAAATTTATACATTTTCTTGCAGCAATTTTCACATCTTGCAAATGTTAAATAATTTATCTTAATTATTTAGTAGATTAAAGTTTAACGATCGCTGTCCATCTTTAGTTTTCTACTTTATCCATTAATTGAAGCATTGAGAAATTTCATCTGCTTTTCCTCATTGTAACTGCAAGTACTTACATGTATGTACGTATGTGTGTATGGATGTATGCGAAAGTATCTATAGCTGTACATAATTACAGATTTATGTACACACGTCGTAATTCAATAAAAATTACAAAAGACACAAGCAAAGAAATTACTTGGCAATTATTTTCGTTTACAAGGAAATTTGTTTTTTTATACCCTACACCATCTATCAGTAGAGTTAGAAGCGATACATAAGTTTGTCATTCTGTGCGTAAGATTAAGATTCATCTGAGATTCAAGAAAGTATGAAAGGCAAAATGTCCTTATGAAATTCTGAGTCGATCGGAACTTTTATAAAAAATGCATGTTATTGATGAAGGGTATTTAAGATTCGTCTCCGCCGAATAATAACACTCTAACTTGTTATTTCTTTTATCCACCAGAATTGTTAGTTCATTGTCAAAACCACTTGCTGTAGGTATTTGAATTTTTTTCTTCATTTGCTTCTGCGTCTTTTCTTCTACAATTTTATTGTCGTCTGTTGACAACTGTCAATGTGATGTGAGAGAATACCGGCAAATTCAACACAGATAAGTTGTGCAAAAAAAAAAAAAAGACTGGTAGATAATTTAATGGTCATAATGTTGCTTATTCCTGATAATGATCAATTTATTTTGTAATGAAGTAATTTTCAGTTTGTGTGTGCTAATGCTTTGGGTTGTTCAATAGGATGGAGCAAATTTGCAAAGGGAAATATCAGCTGTTTGCCCAAATTCATAAATTGCTTTATAAAAATGAAAAATTTTGACTCTTGTTGAAAGTTTACAAAATTCTGGGAAAATCTTTATTCTTTTTTTCAAAGTTCTTCCCCCTACAATTTTGCTGTAGTCTAATACATATATAAGTATTACATAGAAATACCACAGCTATTTAACTTGATAATAACACTGTAACAGCAGATAATGTCTATAAGATTAGACTGTGATCGAAAACCAATAGTTGGGAAAACTTGTTACCATGTCCGGTGTGTGAATACTACAAGTACAAATAAGTTGTTCTTATAAAAAAAAAGTATTCTCCATAATTGATGAAACGAAAATGTTTCTCATACAAATATGTTTGTGTGAAGATTAAATTGCAAATAATGTTTGATTCCAGTTATTGTCGGTGGGTTAACGTTAAGCGGTCATAAAAGAAATATATAAATTAATTAGATTGTCTTTACATTCCAGAAATAAGAAACTGGGAACTGTTTTATATAAGATTTTTAAACATCTCGAAAATATTATATACATAATAGTAATTTGTTAACAATTTTCTATTAATTTCACTAGTTCAGTTCTAGTTCAGTTCTAGTTCAGTTCTAGTTCAGTTCTAGTTCAGTTCTAGTTCAGTTCTAGTTCAGTTCTAGTTCAGTTCTAGTTCAGTTCTAGTTCAGTTCTAGTTCAGTTCTAGTTCAGTTCTAGTTCAGTTCTAGTTCAGTTCTAGTTCAGTTCTAGTTCAGTTCTAGTTCAGTTCTAGTTCAGTTCTAGTTCAGTTCTAGTTCAGTTCTAGTTCAGTTCTAGTTCAGTTCTAGTTCAGTTCTAGTTCAGTTCTAGTTCAGTTCTAGTTCAGTTCTAGTTCAGTTCTAGTTCAGTTCTAGTTCAGTTCTAGTTCAGTTCTAGTTCAGTTCTAGTTCAGTTCTAGTTCAGTTCTAGTTCAGTTCTAGTCAGTTCTAGTTCAGTTCTAGTTCAGTTCTAGTTCAGTTCTAGTTCAGTTCTAGTTCAGTTCTAGTTCAGTTCTAGTTCAGTTCTAGTTCAGTTCTAGTTCAGTTCTAGTTCAGTTCTAGTTCAGTTCTAGTTCAGTTCTAGTTCAGTTCTAGTTCAGTTCTAGTTCAGTTCTAGTTCAGTTCTAGTTCAGTTCTAGTTCAGTTCTAGTTCAGTTCTAGTTCAGTTCTAGTTCAGTTCTAGTTCAGTTCTAGTTCAGTTCTAGTTCAGTTCTAGTTCAGTTCTAGTTCAGTTCTAGTTCAGTTCTAGTTCAGTTCTAGTTCAGTTCTAGTTCAGTTCTAGTTCAGTTCTAGTTCAGTTCTAGTTCAGTTCTAGTTCAGTTCTAGTTCAGTTCTAGTTCAGTTCTAGTTCAGTTCTAGTTCAGTTCTAGTTCAGTTCTAGTTCAGTTCTAGTTCAGTTCTAGTTCAGTTCTAGTTCAGTTCAGTTCTAGTTCAGTTCTAGTTCAGTTCTAGTTCAGTTCTAGTTCAGTTCTAGTTCAGTTCTAGTTCAGTTCTAGTTCAGTTCTAGTTCAGTTCTAGTTCAGTTCTAGTTCAGTTCTAGTTCAGTTTAGTTCAGTTCTAGTTCAGTTCTAGTTCAGTTCTAGTTCAGTTCTAGTTCAGTTCTAGTTCAGTTCTAGTTCAGTTCTAGTTCAGTTCATTTCTAGTTCAGTTCTAGTTCAGTTCTAGTTCAGTTCTAGTTCAGTTCTAGTTCAGTTCTAGTTTTTTGCAAAAACCTATTTTTAGTGAAAAATCAAATTTTATATGAAAATTCGAATTTTATATGAAAAATCGAATTTTTAGTGAAAAATCGAATTTTTTAGTGAAAAATCGAATTTTTGGTGAAAAATCTAATTTTTAGTGAAAAATCTAATTTTTAATGAAAAATCGAACTTTTAGTGAAAAATCGAATTTTTAGTGAAAAATCGAATTTTTAGTGAAAAATCTAATTTTTAATTAAAAATCTAATTTTTAATTAAAAATCGAATTTTTAGTGAAAAATCGAATATTTAGTGAAAATTTTAATTTCTTGTTAAAAATCGTAGTTGTAGTTAAAAGTCGAACTTTTAGTAAAAATATAAATTTTGATGAAAAATTTAAATTTTGTTGAAAATTTAATTTTTACGGAATTTAATTTTGATTGCTTCGAATATTTTATTCTGAACAAATATTTGATTATTTTTTTACTTAATTTTTTTTTAATAAAATTAACATTGAAACCAATTGGCTCTTATAACAAAATTCGGTGTCTTTATGAATTTTTAAAATATTTTTACTTACTTGGCCTTTTTTGTTGTTCCTGTATATAACGTTCTCTCGCCTGTTGTACAGCCTTTTCATTACCAACATCCAAATATTTTTGTTCGGTTAAAACTCCAGGTGCATCATTCTGCATTGAAAGTTCATTGCGATAAGGTTCATCATCAATGTAATCGTCCTGGATAAAAGTAACACAAAAATAAAAGAAATTATTAAAAATAAACAAAAAATAAAAAACAATTACAAACTTTCCTTAAACTAAAATCATTCATTTAAATTATTTATCAACTTTCGACATGTCTAATCATATTATTTATTATACTCTCTCTTTCTACTTTAAATATATCATAAAAAGATTTTCATAAGCTTTAGTTATTTTTAATAAAATTATAAATAATGAATGGTAGTAACAATTTAAAATATCCAACTATTACTAACTTGTAATTAAATCTTGTTATATACATACATACATACATAGTATACTATAGTAGTAGTAGTAGTTATGTCTATTTTGTTTACTACTTTTACTTAGTTTTTCTTAATTTCTTCATTTATTTTACTTACAATTAAATGAAAATTAAAGTTCTCTTTAGTTTCTCTGCTTAGAAGAAGAAGAAGATGAAAAACAAAAACTAGGACAATTGCCAGTGTTTGCTCAGAGAGAAATTTATGAAACCTAAATTAATTATTCCTTCTTTTTCATTTTTATAATTGCAAACACAATACCCCCAGCTCGTAACTATTATTTTATTACAACGTTGAGACGACCGACAACTGTTACCATGAACGTTTTAGTGGGGAAATGCAATTTAGTAAAAAAAAAATATAGGCGGGGAAACTGAAAAGGTTATAGAAATGCTTGTTTTATTCATTATTGAATACCAGATCAAGGGAATTTTGTAAAAGTTAATTTGGGTCCTATTAATAAAAGGTAGAAGATAGGCAGAGAAAGAACAGATAACATCTTGAATATCCGAGAAATTTTATAGTCCTGAAAAGAAAAGATCATGATCCTTATATAAAATCTTACCGTCTGTATGTTAAAAGAAACACTGAAGGAGAAACGTCCTCAAGAGTCAACTCTTTAACGTTTAGAGTAAACATTTTGCAACGAAAGCATTTTGCTCCGAAAGTCAAGACTGAGCGTTTAAATTACCCTGTCTAAGGGAAATTGTGACCTGACCTTCTTGGACTATTCGAATTTTATCGTCTCGTAATACCTACATCACAGGAGCTCCGACTTCATTACCAATTACCAAGGGAAATCGTGATCTTCGTGGACTATTCTTTAATGTTTACCAATCATACGATATATGAACGTCAGATAGCCTGATCGTGGAAGTTTAAAAGAGAAACTGAGTCAGTGGTTTCCTCACCGTATCTATTCGCGATCGAGTCTAGTCGTTTTGTAATCAAATTTAAGACAATCGTTTCGGCATACACTTAATCAACACTCGTACGTCGTATGAACTTCGGATGGAAACCGAGTAGTTGTTTCCTCATGGTGCGTAAGGAAAATTATCAATTTTGCGGCCCTCTCTTTAACGTTTCGTGATCAATTTTGAAAAGATCAGTATGCGAATCAACTCCAGATAAGTTGGCTACATCAAAGTTGTTCCTTAAAGAGTTCAGAAAAATACGAAACAGTCAATTACACTTCGTCTGTAAGATAGCTTGAAACTTGGATCCGCATTGAATCAAGAGGTTAGTCTAAAGAAGAATGAATGAAAGCTTTTGTAAGTGTTGTCAATTTGGGAACGTCTAAGCTACATGAAAGAGTATAGCTTAAACCGAAAGAGTCGATACTCTATCGTGATCAAGTTTTGAAACTTTCGCTGTACTTAACTCGGAACTTTCTTTATGTGTTAAAGATCTAATGAAATTCAGACTTCAATGCCATAAAAGAGTCCAGATGAACGCGAAACAGTCAATTACACTTCGTCTGTAAGATTTAGAACTTTCAGAAGCTTTAATTTACCGTATATTGCTTTGAAACTTGGATCCCCATTGAATCAAGAGCTTTCAATCGAAATAACAATGTATTAAAGCTTTTGTAAGTGTTGCCATAAGGGAAAGTCTAAGATACGTAAAAGAGTTTAGATGAAAACAAAAGAGTTGATACTCTATCGTGATCAAGTTTGAAACTTTCGCTGTCCTTAACTCTGAACTTTCTGTATATGTTGAGGACCTCAGTGTAATAAAAGAGTCTAGAAGAACACGAACAGTTAATTACACTTCGTTTGTAAGATTTAGAACTTTCAAAAGCTTCAATTAGCCGAATATTGCTTTGAAACTTGTATCCGCATTGAATCAACAGCTTTCAATCGAAATAACAATGGATTCAAGCTTTTGTAAGTGTTGTCAATTAGGGAACGTCTAAGATATATGAAAGAGTGTAGATGAAACCAAAAGAGTCGATACTCTATCGTTAACAAGATTTGAAACTTTCGCTGTCTTTAACTCGGAACTTTCTTAGTGTGTTCAGGATCTAATGGAGAGAGGACCTCAAAGTTTATAGCAACAGATATGACTCTTTGTTGGATGAATGATTTCGATTCCCAAAAGACATCTTCGTTGTGATAGGAAATGCGAAGGACTACTTATCGTTCGCTTGAACTTGGACTTTCGAAGTCTTGAATTCTTCAAATCGGGACATACGTTTGCACCATTAGAAACAGTAGTTTATAATTTGTCCCTTTTTTAGCTAACTTCCTCTCTTGGCCTCGTACCTTTATTGTATATGAATACAGTGGACGTCCAATAGTACGTATACTCTTTATTACGAATATCCAATAATACGAATGGCAAAATTGTTGCATTGTCTACTCTATAGTACGAATAAAGTCACAATTTTTCTGTTCGATAGTACGAATAACGCATTTTTTATGGGAATTTTGGTTTTATTTACGTATGAATGAAGTTTTTATTTTTTTATTTCGGTATCATTCACCTTAAGCTCAGTAATTTTGAAGTTTTTTTGTATTTATTACAAGTGTTTTGTATTTTTAAAAATCCTATACACACAATTTACTGCATGTATATTTACAAGTCAACAATTATTTAGTATTATTAATTTATTTTATTGGAATTTTGATGACCCAAGAGAAGAAATTAAATTGGATGATAACGACAATGAGGAAAGTATTTTATTAGTTCCCGACAATAACTCTGCTGAGAACAATATAAGCCTCAAAAGCGCTGTTATTGAAAAAGCCGTAAGAATCATTTTACAATGTAATAAACATCGATGTTAAATGATGGATTTTTTAATAAGTAAAATGATATTTATATACATATGTATGTATGAACTGTTAATTTTGAAAGTAGTGTGACTCCACATTCCAAACAATGGGTTTAAGGATAACTATTCCAATTTTTAAGAGAAAATTATAAGTTAGAGAATTGTGGTATATTCCATTCAAGTTTCTAATAAAAGTTTTATGTAATCTGAACATTTTAATACATTTTAGAACACATATGTAAATTGCAAATTGTCTTTGGCACACATCTTTTTAAAAACATTAAAATTTAAAACCTTCTACATATATCTCATTTCAACCATTGGACTCACGATACTTTCAAAATTAACAATTCATATACGTAAATATGTCCCTTTTATGCCTGTTTATGTACAAGAAATTTATTTAAAATAATACACATTTATTATATTTTGTTCCGTTATGTAATTTTTCATGAAAAATAAAACAAAAATAAATAAAATCCAATATTTTATGTGTATTATTTGAATTTAAACATACAAAATGTGTTGTTCAATAATACGAATTTTTCGGTATTACGAAAGGGCCTGACACTATATAATTCGTACTAGTGGACGTCCACTGTATTTCCTTAATTTAATACTTGGCTACAGAAGCATAAAAAAGTTGGAATTTTTTGTTTCTCGTTTTTGTTTTGTTTTTTTGCTAAAATGTCACATTGCTTTAAGCTGCCGCTATTCGCATGCACTTCCGGCAAGAAAATTCACGTAAAAATAATCATAAAAAAAGAGTTTTTATTCTAAATTTTTATCAAGGATAAAACTTTCCTGTACTAAACAAAAAAATATAAATAAAGGAATAAAATAATAAAGAAAAAGTGAGTCAAGTAAAAAATTGTATTAAATTACTGGCTTCCTTTAAAATAAAAGAAACGTTTACAAAAAAAATAAGAAAAAACAACAAATTTTATTGTTATAAATTTTTATTAAATTTTATTTTAATTCTAATAATAACTAACAGCTATAATAATATGGTTATTATGTAAATTATATGCAAAAAAAAAACATTTTACAAATTTGTTAAAATATCTAATTGAAATTCTAATAGATTATTGTTTGCTTGTTTATGGTTCAACACCTACTACCGATTTCTTAACTGACTTTTTGCTTCTTTTACAACCAAAGTTGTAAAAACAATTATTATTAACTATTTTCAATAAACTGCGCCTAAAAACGCCTTCTCGCTTCAACCATATATGTGTATGTATGTTTTTCAAGTATTTACGAGTATTTAGAATAAAATTATTTCAATATGTTAAAAAAAAAGAAAAGAACACAAAGTTTGTAAATCTAAATCAATCACTGTCGAATACATGCATATAGTACGCTGTCTTTTTTATGCAATTGCGGGTCCAAGTTCAAATTTAAGACCTAGATTTGTTAAGGCATAAGCTTAATTGCAAAGAAATAGCGCTGTTTTAAGCCCAGTGGAAAATTAAGAGGACTTTTAAAGCTAAAAACATTTTCACAAATTTTTCGAAATCGAGATCTAAAATTTGCCACTATGCTAATCTAAAGTATAATCTAGTCTAAGTCAAATTTGAAGTATATGGTGCTGTCTATACTCTAATCTATAGTGTAGTCTGTAATCTGTTCTAGTTTATAGTCTAGTCTAGTCTATAATCTTGTCTTTAGCATAGTCTATAATCTAGTCTATAGCATGGTCTAAAGTCTAGCTTATAGTGCAGATTAAAGTCTAGCTATTAGTCTAGTCTATAGTATAGTCTATCCTCTATTCAAATCTATAGCATAGTCTATAATTTAGTGAATAGTCTAGTCTATAACTTAGTCTATAGTCTAGTCTATAGTCTAGTCTATAGTCTAGTCTAGTCTAGTCTAGTCTATAGTCTAGTCTATAGTCTAGTCTATAGTCTAGTCTATAGTCTAGTCTATAGTCTAGT